CCCCGAACCGTGGTCGACTACGTGGGAATCCAGCGACATAGCCATTACACTAACTGCTGGTTCCCCCCACACCTTTGTTTTTCAGCATAACTTGAAGATTGAAGATGGGGAAGACCTGAAACATGACTTTGAAAGGCTCAAGCAAGCCATGGAGATGGTGGGCTTCCTCCCCACCACCAAGAAGCAGTAAGTGGGAAGCCGGGACCCCCTTTTCGCCAGAGCTTCCGGGAGCCCGACTGGCTCCTTGCTTGGACCCGTCAGTCTGAGATCGGAGTCACAGTTCAGTGAGCGCAGGGCTTGGGGCTTGAGCCACTGGTTAATAGGAAACACCACTGCAAAAACAAGGACGTAAGAGGAGCCAGCAGGTGGCGTGGTGGTTAAAGACGCTGCACTCCCACATGGCTGACTGCGGTTCAAGTCTCAGGCCCGGCAGCTTGCTTTCTCACTCTCTCTCTCTGGTCAAATTAAAAATGAATAATGATAAAATAAAGTTAAAGAAAAAGAATTCTTTAGAAACAAATCTGAGAGGAGCCAGCAGGTGGCGTGGTGGTTAAGGCACTGGACTCCCACATGGCTGACTACGGTTCGAGTCTCGGGCCTGGGCCTGGCAGCTTGCTTTCTCACGCTATCTGTTTCTCTGGTCAAATTAAAAATTAATAATGATGGGAACCAGCAGTTAGCGTAATGGCTATGTCGCTGGACTCCCACGTAGCTGACCGCGGATCGAGTCCCGGACCCGGTGGTTTAAAACTCACGCCGGGCACGTGTGCGTGCGTGCCCAAGATCCCGAGAGGAGAATGGAGGAGAAGGGATTGCGGCATGACCATCCCCCCTGGGGGGTGATTTCTCGCTTTCTGTCTCTATGTCTCTATCTGTCTTGCGCCCTATAGCGAAAACCTCTCCAAAAAAAAATAGGGGATGAGGTCTCCCCAACAAAACTAAAAATACCAAAGGATTTTCACAAGCTGCTTCTGAAATTTATATGTTCCCATGTAGTCGATCATGGTTCGATTCCCAGACCTGTGGCTTGAACTCACGCTGGGCACATGTACATACATGCCCAAGATCCTGAGAGGAGAATGCAAGAGAAGGGATTGTGGCATGGCCGTCCTCCCGGAGGGTGATTTCTTGCTTTCTATCTCTTTTTGGCAAGTGCACGTGCCCTATAGCAAAATATATATATATATATATCCTTTCCAAATAATAATAATAATAATTCTTTTAAAAGAAAACAATCTGAGAGGAGGAGCCAGCAAGTGGCATGGTGGTTAAGGCACTGGACTCCCACATGGCTGACTGTGTTTCGAGTCTGAGACCTGGCAACCTGCTTTCTCACTCACTCTCTTTCTCCAGTCACATTAAAAATTAATAATAATAAAATAAAGTTAGTTGGCTGGAAACCAGCAGTTGGCATAATGGCTATGTCGCTGGACTCCCATGTTTCGCATCCTGGACCTGGTGGCTTAAAACTCTCGCTGGGCGCGTGTGCGTGTGTGCCCAAGATCCCGAGAGGAGAAGGGAGGAGAAGGGATTATGGCATGGCCATCCCCCCTGGGGGGTGATTTCTCACTTTCTCTCTCTGTCTCTCTGTGTCTCCAGTGAACACATATACCCTATAGTAAACATCTCTCTTTAAAAAAAAACAAACAAAAACCAAGGTGAGTTTATTTTTAAGTTTTTTGTTTTGTTTTCGAGAGGTTTTTGCTGTAGGGCACGTGCGCTCACCAGAAAGACAGAGACAGAGAGACAGAAAGCGAGAAATCACCCCCCAGGGGGGATGGCCATGCCATAATCCCTTCTCCTCCCTTCTCCTCTCGGGATCTTGGGCACACACGCACACGCGCCTAGCGTGAGTTTAAGCCACCGGGTCCGGGACTCGATCCGCGGTCAGCTACGTGGGAGTCCTGCAACGTAGCCATGACGCCAACTGCTGGTGCCCAGACCCTCTGTGTTCTGACGGGAATCGGGAATCGGCAATCGGCGGGTGGTGGGAGTTCAGCCCTGCTCTCTGGAAGTGTCTGTCTCCTTAGGAAACGTGGAAACCGCCCTAACGCGAGCTCCCGTCCCTTCCAGGATCTTCTCCGTCCTCTCGGCCATCCTGTACCTGGGCAACGTCACGTACAAGAAACGAGCCACGGGCCGTGACGAGGGCCTGGAGGTCGGGCCCCCCGAGGTGCTGGACACGCTCTCCCAGCTCCTGAAGGTACTGCCCGCCCGCCTGCAGCCTTCCTGTGGTCTCTTCCCACTCTTGGCTACTCGGGGCCACTGGTCACGCCTTAATTCAGGGGACACGTGCGTAGGACGTCCTGCTGTGGCCACGGGTTTGTACACCACAGACCGCCTGCCCACGTCCTCCCCTGTGTTCTCTCTGCTGCCCCTTCCTCGTTCTCTCTCTATATATTTTTTTGAGAGATTTTTGCTACAGGGCACCTGTGCTTGCTGGAGGGACAAAGAGTCAGCAAGAAATCACCCCCCAGGGGGGATGGCCGCACCGCAATCCCTTCTCCTCCATTCTCCTCTCGGGATCTTGGGCACGCACGCACACGCGCCCGGCGTGCGTTTAAGCCACCGGGTCCGGGACTCGAACCGCAGTCGACTCCATGGGAGTCCAGCGACATAGCCATTACATCAACTGCTGGGCCCCCCTTTCTTTTCTTTTTCTTTCTTTTTTTTTTTTTTTTTTAATTTGTTGTGGTTGAACTTGCCCGCTCTCTTTCCATCTCTCTGGCACCTGCACGTGCCCCACAGCAAATTGAAAAATATTGGAAGGGCCAATAGGTGACATGGTAATCAAGCAGCTACGTCCAACCTGGCCGACTCTATGGTTCGAATCCCAGACCCGGCACCTTGAAAGACACCAGGCGCGTGTGCGTGCGTGCCCAAGATCCCGAGAGGAGAATGGAGGAGAAGGGATTGCGGCGTGGCCATCCCCCCTGGGGGGTGATTTCTCACTTTCCCTCCCTCTCTGTCTCTGTCTCTCTCTCTGGCAAGTTCACGCGCCCTGTAACAAAACTGCAAAACCAAACCCAGGTGCTGGGTACAGAGCGCATGAGGAGTTACAGCCTGAGGGGGGCCTCAGGGTCACAGTGAAGCCCGTCCACTGAGGGTCTGTCCTCCGTCAGCTTGGGGCTTCCGGGCTTGCCTCACTGACATTCGGAGACACCCAAGAAGCTCTTCACCTGCCGGCCCTTTTTCTCCCTTTTTGTCCTTCAAACAGGTGAAGCGGGAAATCCTGGTGGAGGTCCTGACCAAAAGAAAAACGGTGACTGTCAACGACAAGCTCATCCTTCCCTACAGTCTCAGTGAGGTGAGCACCGCCCCGGGCACGCGGCGGGCACTGGGCCCCAAAACGCAAGTTGGACAGTCATTCTGAAAGACACCCAGCAAGCCAGGGCCTCTCTGCCCCTCAGGCAGTAGGAGGAGAACCCTGCCACGCACATGGTGGATAACTATGCAGCCGTTAAAAAGAATGACCTCGTGGGACCAGCAGACAGCAGAGAGAGAGAAAGAGAGAGGGAGAGAGAGAAAGCAAGCCACCAGGTCTGGGACTTGAACCATGG